CATCGAATGATTTTCTTATTTTGTTTTAATTTCAAAACAAATAACCGTAGGCATTTTCATCAAAAATCTATTTTATAATTTTTTATACATGCTACATTTTTCAAAATTTAATATTTTAATAACCTTCGAAATGTTCAATCATACTAGTTTTTTTTTTTATAAATGTCAGTAAAAAATTTTCTAAGTTGACATTGAAGGACTGGGTATAAGACTTTAAAAGCTCGCTCTGGTCCAAGTTCTGGCTTGCAAAATTCTGAAATTGGACCTGCAAACTCTTGATAACTAAGGGAAATATTTTATAACCGTTTCGGACTTTCAGAATTAATATTGAAGGGCTGGGTGAAGTTGGCCCTGCAATACCCTTACCTCCAATAACCACCATAATTCACACTTGCGAATTCTTGTAAACTACTTGCTAACTCTGAGGATAACTTTCAAAATGTTTGAACACAGTTGAAGGGCCAACTTCACTGATTTAAAATCTTTTTTTGTGTTCATGATCGACAATTTCAAATTTAACTAAATTGTATTTATTTATTCATAACATATTTTACGGTCTACAAACCGGCACTATGTTAAATAATAGGTGGCAATTACTAATCAGTACCAAATAAATATTTATCAACTATGATACCGGCTTCAAATTTAGTAGGTACTTCATCATTTTTTTGAGATTTATTATTTTATATTGATATTACAGTTTATACTACCTACTGGCTACTACCTATTAATATTACGATAAGTTGTGTTAATTTTTTCCAAAAATATTGCATTTATTACTTTATTAATTTTTAATTTTAATAGTTTATTATGTCTATCAGGGGCCTCATTTGGGGGGGGGGGCAGACTATGGCAAATGCCCCACTCTAAACATTTTTAAAAAGTCGGCAATTCTTTGTCCGATGATCAAATACTAAAATCGGTAAATACTAAATTTGTATATACTATTTTACACTCAGAAATCAGATATTATTCTAATATTCTCTTTTAAATACACATTCACGGTTATTAATATGTGGGGAAACACTGGCTCCTCCTCAACTTATGACAATCGTTATTACGCGAAATACTTTTATGAAATATCTAGAAAAATTCTAAAAATAGGTATACAATAAATTGTTTGTGTTGATAACATCGATAGCCGTTGCCGACTTCCACGATCTAATCATTAACTAGTATTATTAGTTTTAAGAGGACGTTATACCCGCATGGGTTGTCTCCGTCTTACAAGTGCGTAACATAGCAAATTGTACACTCAGCAGAACACGTGTAGCTCCGTTAATTTAAAAATTAAAGTGAATTGACCTCTTATAAAATCTAAACTTAAGATTATTATCTAGGCAACCTCATAGGTTTTTTATTATATTTTAATTTTAACGCGAGTTATGAGTATTTTAAGATGTATAAAAAATTTACAATGTTAAAATACTCATAACTCGCGTTAAAATTAAAATATAATAAAAAACCTATGAGGTTGCCTAGATAATAATCTTAAGTTTAGATTTTATAAGAGGTCAATTCACTTTAATTTTTAAATTAGCGGAGCTACACGTGTTCTGCTGAGTGTACAATTTGCTATGTTACGCACTTGTAAGACGGAGACAACCCATGCGGGTATAACGTCCTCTTAACTGGTATTATAATTTCATCAAAGTTTTAAATGTACAAATAATAAAATTTTAAGTATTTATTTAATATGATTTATATTATTATTCCATTAAACCTATTGATACTTGATAGGTAACTTATAGGATAAGTAAATAAATTAACGTTTTACTATTTTTAATGTTATTATTTAATTGGGTAAATTGAAACGTTTCATGTTATTTGTTTATCATCACATCATGACATCATTATTCATTCACCCTTACATTTTTTGTTCCGAAAAAAATATTTTGTTGATGGTCTATCGTCCATACATATTAAATATATAGATAAGCATAATTTTTTAAATATTATGAAGTCGGCAAATTTAATCAATTGCCCTATCCTTTCAAAAGTTGAAATGACGCCCCTGAATTGTCTATGCATTCTAACTGTCCTGTCCGTCGATTTTAAAAGATTTGGCAAGTATTTATTTGCAAAAATCCCATGGAAGAAGACCTTTCAGTATTTCAATACAATTTTCGATTTTTCTTTTTTTAAAAACCTTATTCATTACAATTATTTTTTTTAAATAATGAGATAAATTAGTGCAACTGTTCTCATGAAATGCAGTTAACAACAAACACCATTTCATTTTTTTTTATTGTATAGATTTTTATTATTTTATTTGAAAATACTCTCGGCAATTAGGCCATCGACTGTACATAGTTATTTATTATATATAATGCTGTTATTATAACTTCTGAGTCAATATTGACTTGTCTACAAAGAAAGATCTGAATAGGTTTATGGTATAAATATAAAATAAGCAATAGGTAGTGTACAATTATTCTAAATTTAATAATTGAAAAAAGTCATTGGGTCTATAAAATATAGGTAATTATATAGTAAAAGCTTCAAATATCCTAATACAAAAAATAACTGAAATCATTATTCATTGCTTATAGTTCAAATACATCTAATTTCTTCCAAGTTTGAACTTGAAATGTCCTTGAAAATAATGGTACTTTCATAGTTGTATTATTATTTATTTTGTATTTTTATCATTAGTATTAATTACATATTATGAGGAATCATGTTGTAAGTTTTGAAAATGTAACTATAAAAATTGAACATTTAATACATTTTTAACTAACAAATAATTGGCGCATTTTCTTATAGGCAGATATAAAAAAAAAATTTTGGACTTTGAATTTACGAATTTCTTCAAAATTTGAACTTCAAATGCTTATAAAAAATAACTGTGATTATGCATCTTAAATAATTTTAAATAACTATAGAACATACGAGTATCTAACATTGAATTAAAATGTTTAGCTTTTGGACTGACCAAAAATTATTTATTAATATTTTATACAGTAAAAAAAACTGAAAATATCGAAAATATCCAGTCCCTACAATTAGCTTTAAACAGTATAAATAATTTTAAAATTATCCCAGGTATAGAATAAGCTTCTATAAACAATTTCAAACATTTATAAATATTCTATTTTGAATTACAACGAAATAAGACAATTTATTTGTCAAAAACTAGTTTTGCATTTATTTCTAATTTTTTTTTGTCCTCCCGAAAGTAAAAACTACTTACAAAGATTCAATTACTTACCAGAAATCCAGAAAAGGTATTGAAACTGAAAATCTAAGCATTTGTTCTATTATAAATCGTATATCTGTACTCAAGAATCTAAAACTATTTCTTTGTTAATATTTAAAGTCGTCTAAATTGGGTATAACAAATGTTATGTTGTTTACAAAATATATACAATGATATTGATTTGAAAAATCATTTGCGGCTCAAAAGAAGTGTAAACATGTAGCTGAGATACAGACATACAATAAATAATAATGCAAATAAAGATAAAACTTAACAAAATTTACCAAAATTCAGCATGAAGTAAGCATGAACTTACTTAGGCAAGTGTAAGTATAATCTTATATTAATTACCTACCTATTATATTATAACAAGCCAGTGTACAAGGGAAGTTGGCGTTCACCGCCCCCGTCATTTTTAAATTAGGTATATAATTATGCACTTTTATTTCATGTATTAAAAATATTTTTACCCCCCCCCCCCCTTCTTCCTCATAAATTGGTGCTGAATATGTGCTTGTAATATAATACATACAATTTATATAAAATATATTATAATATTACAATACTAAATTGTATAAAACACCTTCTATAAAATACCATTTTTTACAGTGTATTATTTTTGGACTGATGTTAATTAGCTACTGAATACGGTTAGTGAACTGACTATACATAGAAATTGTTTTATACAATTTAGTATTGTAATATTATAATATATTTTATATAAATTTTATGTATTATATTACAAGCACATATTCAGCACCAATTTATGAGGAAGAAGGGGGGGGGGGGGTAAAAATATTTTTAATACATGAAATAAAAGTGCATAATTATATACCTAATTTAAAAATGACGGGGGCGGTGAACGCCAACTTCCCTTGTACACTGGCTTGTTATAATATAATAGGTAGGTAATTAATATAAGATTATACTTACACTTGCCTAAGTAAGTTCATGCTTACTTCATGCTGAATTTTGGTAAATTTTGTTAAGTTTTATCTTTATTTGCATTATTATTTATTGTATGTCTGTATCTCAGCTACATGTTTACACTTCTTTTGAGCCGCAAATGATTTTTCAAATCAATATCATTGTATATATTTTGTAAACAACATAACATTTGTTATACCCAATTTAGACGACTTTAAATATTAACAAAGAAATAGTTTTAGATTCTTGAGTACAGATATACGATTTATAATAGAACAAAAAGCATAGGCTTTTGGGCATTCCGCTGAGGGCGTATGTCCGTCACACCGCCACCTTCCGGAATTTCATCTAAAAAAATTTAAAACGATACATGGATACAGCCGCGATACCCATTGACGCGTTATAGGTACTACAACAGAAAACGGTCACCTATAATTCGTCTTGCTAGTTACGTATTATGGGTCAAATTGTCATAAAGGTTTATAGACAAATTGCATGGCGCTATCTTGTGGTGAGGTTACACTATAACTGCTTGCGCCTGGCACTTGATATGTATTGTTACAAGAATACAACGTCATATTATTATCATGAATTTTTATGATCAATGTTATTATATATTTATATAGGTATAGCCAGTATAGGTATATGTTTATATTATGTATCTTGTACTCTTATTACGGTTATAGAAAAAAAATTGATGATTTGATACTGTTGGTATTTAAATTGTCTAAGACTAAACAAATAATTAATATTAAATAGGTAGGTATTCAAGTAATATAGTAGGTACCTACAAATACAACTAATAACAATGTATTAAGTGAATGAGAATTTATTAAAAAATATATTATACAATTTTACATAGGCAGGTAGGAATTATGAAATAAAATGATTGTTTTTAGTTGCAAACTGTATCTTTCATTAATAACTGGTGAAGATTTTACTAAATTAATTATGATGTTGTTTAGATAGGTATTCAAATAGGCTTGGCTAATCATTGCAATTAAGTATTTTTATTTTATGTAGAGTAAAATGTAAGTATATATGACCTCAGTGCATTTGTCACATTGAGGTAATACTGATCATGAATCTATTTTTCATTAATAATAATGGATTAAAAAAAATGTTTTAGTCACTTTATTACTTTAACAATGTTTAGTGCTTTCAGACGCATTTTTAAGTCCACATATACACTTAAATGACACAAAACTGTTAGGTATGTGTAATCAAATTTATTGATAATTTGTAATGAGATCTTTTCTGTTGGATGTCCATGATGATTCTGATATTTCTTCCATACAGTATTCACAGTTGATGTCTCCAGAAATATGGTTGACAATAAGTTTATCCAAACATATAATAAGTACCTACAATATATTTTTAGTGATTGTATTCAAAAAGCTATAATTATAGTTATCCATATTTTATAAGTAATAGAATATTTTCAAGAATTTTATCTTACTTTTATTTGTCTTTATAATTATACTTCAATGAAAGTAATGAATTATTTGACATAAACAGTGTATAGTTTTCAGTAGACATTTTAATGAAATTCTGTAATAAAATACTGCAAATAGCATATTTCAATTTTAAATAATTTGGGAAAATGTTATATCCAAACCTTCCTCTAATATGACCAAAAAGTAGTTCAAGAGCTTCCTGATTAAACATATATTATGTTAACAAGTGTCACATAAGTACATACAATTACAAGCTAATAAAATCTTAATATTCTACACATAAAAAAAATGTATTTATTTTAATGGTTGTTCTGATGTATGTTGTTTAATTGTTTAAGTGAGTATAGAAATGCTATACATGTGATTTCTCATTCTCAAGTGCCCACCCAGGATTTTTTTTTAACGGGAGCTAAATAGAATTTTAAAATATATATAGAAATATGTAAGCACACTATTTTACTGACTTTTTTATGAAATAAACTATATATTTGTATTAATTTTTGGACTTGGAGTTTTAATTTTAGTCGCAGTGATGTTATATTATATAAGTATAGAGATGTAAGTTGAATTAATTGTTAATACAATACAATGACACCTGTGGGTTGAGATAAATCAAATTTCATCAACAAAAATGTTATAGTGAGAATTTTCCGGTTTCGTATTAATATATTATGCCTACATAGTTTCGAAGAGCGACATTTACAATGATAATAATGTAGAACAGAGGTTTCTCTCGGTTCCCAGAATGGCAAGTATAAATATTGTATTATATTATGTTTTGATTTTACAATCTTAATGGTTGGTAATTTTGTTTATAACATAACTTAAAGTCCATTCTTAATAAAATTAACAGTAAAATTGCCAACATGTTAAGAACTTAGACATATTAATGGTCAGTCAAATATATTTTTTTTTTGGTTAACTCCCACTCTTGCTTATTCTAGATTCTAGGTATACCTACTAAATTTTATGGATACATTGTTTTTTTATATTTTCTTGTAAATGCATTTCTCAAATTAAAAAAATCAAAAATCTCATCAATAATTAGTATAAATTTAATAGTAGCTTCACAATTTTTAGAGTCTACTGAAATGTTTTGTAAAAATTGAAATGCCTTTACGACTGAGCCACCGAGATGTTTGATTAGCTAATTTTTCTTTCATACTATTATTCCTCCAATAAATATGTGAAAAACTCAGTTTCTTGGTTCATTTAAAATTTAAATTGAATATTATTTTTGATTTTAAAAAGTTGTTCTGTATGCCTTCACTCAATCAAATATCATTTTCATCTAGAAAAAAAATACTATAAATTAATCCAAGGTATTTATTGCTAGTTTAATGTTGTGGCATGCTTTGTAGTGAAATAAATGAATATTAAGATGACATCACACTGGTAATTTTCAGTGGTGAATACACATACCGCAGTCAGAGAAAAATTTGCTTAGTTTTGATGTTAGAGTAAAAACAGCTATTACAAAATTAAAATATGACAGTATTATGGAGGGCAAGATGTTGAGTCTTAAAAAAGTTTAATGTTAGAAAAGTTAAAGGTGATTTGAAAATGTTGACATTTTTGGTATTTCTAAAAGATAATAATTGAACGTTATATTGGGAATAATGGAAAAAACGCATTGTCAAACCCTTCAAAATAATATCATAATTTAGGGTTGCCATTCGTCCCAATTTCGCCGGGACACTACCGGTTTTTACTACAGAGTCCCGATATTTTTAATTTCCCGGCCGGGACATGGATAAGTACCGGTTTCTTAAAATAAGATTTAAACAATACACATATTAGTAAATAAGTAAGACCACTCTGTTTTAAATTAAAAATTGTGTACCTAATTAATTTTTTTAGATAATTTGAAATTATATTTATGAACAAGATAATAATAATACTATTATTACATTTTGTGCTATTACTAATTTTGGACTTATTTATTATAAATTATAATATAATAAAAATATTAAATAACGTTGGACTAAAAAAGGTATTATTAAAAATTCCAAAGAATGTGTTGTGGGGAGGGGGGGGGGTATTATAGTGACCCGACTTGTATTTTTGTATAAATGGCAACCCTCAACCCTATCATAATTAAATTTAATAATAGGTATGCATTTTTACTCTAAAACCTAATTTAAGAGTGTTATACTCAGACTTTATCTATATACTTAATATATAAGCTAATCCCGTGCACTTTGTAACCCGTTAACAATGCTCACTTTGGATGAAACCCGCTTGTGATAATGCAAGCAGTATATTATCAGGCGGACAATCCACCATAGGTGGATTGCGGACCCCTCTTGATGCATACTCTATATAAATTATAGGTATCTTTTTTACTTTTATATATTTATTTTCATTTTGATTGCCGTCACGCCGATGAGCAGGTATAAGTACAGCATAGCCATCTTGGTAGACAATGTGCAAAAATTTAATTTGGTGCATGCTCCTGATCCACCCGCCTGGGTAAGTGACTACTCAGTTACTACTCGATTCGTTTTTTTGGCTAAGCTAAATAATTAAAAATGATTGTGTATCATTCGACATCAATACCGACCAGCCTAGAAGCATCCATGGTTGTTGAGTTTGATTGTTATTTATTTTTATTTTTCAGCCAACAAATATTTTTTACTAAAAAAGGTAAACAATTTACAACTTTATTTTACTTGATAGATGAGTTAATTTTTTATTAACTTTGACAATTGTTGAAATGTCATTGGGATAGGAACCTTCTCCGTGATATCATCATCCATTAAAAAAAAAAATGGAGATGATGGGTTGAGTAGTTTCCGATAACATAAGTGTCAAAGGTTTGAATTTTCGATTTTATATATGAAGACTATAAAAAGATATATATTTAATATCTGTATCCTGTATAACTGTATTCTGTATTTCCGTGAATTGAAATTTGAAATGCGACCAATCATTCAAGACTTATCATCACTATAATAATAATATAGTCGTACAAAAAGCAGTTACCTATGTGTTTCAGACATCCAACTTCTAACCCCTGACAGTTGACATCTACCCAGTTAAATGTTTGACAATATTGTCTATTGATATTTGATTTACTAAATAGTAAATATTAATTAGTAAGTAAATGAAATTAATAATACATCATAATTAATATTTTAATACGTCATTTCATAAGGTCACCGAAGATTATAATACTTTATTCTGCAATCTGCCTCCATACAATAAAGATAACGAAATGATTGGCTGGCAGATGATGTCAGAAACGTTTTTTATCGTTTTCGTGTCTGGTTGTTCATTATTGATATCAAGCGGTTGCATTGTTTTCACCAAGCAATTACGCACCAGATAAGCCATTAGGTATTTTAATGTAGCTCAGCTTATTGTTTGTGTTAACTTCTTAAGTTTTTTTGTGTTTCACTGTATCATCGCTATTGTCATTAGTCAATAGTCATTACATAGAGCTGCTGTCGTCTTATACCTCAGATTTCAGTACTTACATTGCTGAAATATTTGGATTCACGCGCCGTGTTTTAGCGTACAGAATTCCGGTTTATGAACGTGCTAGTTTCGCGATGCATTTAAAAAACTATGGGTGAGGGTGTTGTACGATCTAACTAGTGTCTATCAGTCGTTTGTTAACAAAAAACTTATGTGCAATTAAATTAAGAGTGTTTGGTTGTTTTTATTAATTGTGTAATTTTTATTTTCTCAGAATGCTCCTCTAATAAAGTTGACACGATGGTTGCGAGTTTACAGTCGAGGCGTAAAGCATTAGAATCTAAAATCACCGAAAAAAATCGTGAATTAAAGCGATTATGCATACAAGAAGCAGAATTGACGGGCAGCTTACCTCCGGAGATCCCATTGGATCCTGGCGAAACACCACCTACATTCCGTCGACGTGTTGGAACATCATTTACTTATCCTGAAAATTTAATAAATAAACTGAAATTTAAAGACGTAAGTAATCATTTATATTTTTTACTGTAATGAACAGGTTTTGCTTAAGCGTTTTGCTTGTTAGGATGAAACATTGGCTTCACTAGAACTGGAGTATAAAATTCAAAAAGGAATTGCCGAAGCTGCTTTAGGACTTGCTAATGATGAGACTGCCAATAAATCTGTGCGACGTAAACATAGAATGATGTATCAACAGAGTCAAAATAGAATTATTGAACTCGAAACAAGAATAAATTTATGCAATAATCAAAAAGTTAAAAAAAAACCTCGCCCTGAGAGCAGTTACACAACAGGTAATATATGATATATTATATTTCACCATTGTGAATAAGATTAGATAAATAAAATAATAATAATGATATTATAATAATATTAGATTAGAGTAAAAAAAAATTTTAAAAGCTACATGATTTTGGTTAAGTTAGTTAGAAAGAGTAAAAAGTAAAAAGAGCAATTTCTTTAAGTACAATTGACAAATCCTAATGCCCTGATAATATATATGTTACGGTCCAAATAAATAAATTGACATTGCTGACCAATCAATGCGTGCAATGCCCAAGTGGTATGAACCACGTAGATACTTATACATATTGACCAGATATCATATACCATGGCCCAGTGGTGCCGAGTCTTATAAATAGTGGAGCGAAATAAAATAATTTACTTATCCACCCATACACTTCAATAATGTAAGTTTGATATTTCAATTTTCAGACTATTATTTAATATTTTTATCCAGTATTGGTAATATCATTAATGGGTAAATTCACCTAACCCGGTTAAATATTATAACCAAATAAATATTCTTGCTACTCTTAAAATCGGTTTCCGATCAACAGATTTATCATATTAGATTTTGAACAGAGAAATGAATGTATTGACTTTTATGTTATGTTCTTTTTTTTTTTTTTTTTGAAAACACTTTATAGCAAAAAAATACAAATCCTTTTATAATAATTGGGATAAGCCGAAAAAAAATAACCATGGATAATTGAAATGTTTACCTTTATCAACATTTCCTGTACATTTTAACATTTTCTTAATATTTTGTCATAATCACTAAAATTTTCAAACTATTTTATAGTTAAAAATTAAATACAAGGTTCCAACTAAATATTAGGTATATACTAGAATAAAAAAATAAAAATTGTAAGTAAATCCACAACAATTTTTAATGAGCATCTGAAGTTTAAATTTTAATTACATTGGATATTCTCACAATATTTTTTCATCAAACAATTTTCTTATGTCTTTATACCTAACTCAAAACCAAATAACTAGAGTACATGACATTTTAACCAAATAATGTTTGTATTATCATTTTGTACACACAATATAATTTTCAAAGAAGGAATATGACTCATTAAATTTCTTAAAGAATATATATTTCTGGTGATTTACCTCAAATATAGGTAAAAGTTATATTTATAATGGAAAAATATTTTTAAAATATGTATGAAATATGTACAAAATATGTCCATGGAAAAAATTCAAATTCAAATGAATCTAAAAAAATAGCTATTCAAATATTATACATCCTTAAAATGTCATTTTAACATTTTGATAATACATAATGCATACAAGACAAGATAATAGTTATGCACCTATAATATGTAATATTAATAATAATAAGTACCTATGCAAAATAGTATGCATTACATTATATTTTCAATGTTATATATTATATTAGTCATAAATAGGAAATGGATTTTATTGTTATTACATATTTTTATTGGAATAAGATATTTTAAATTCTGATGAAAAATGTGTACAATTTAGATCATTCTAATTTAAATAAACCCAAATTTATTTCACATATTTTTTAGGTATATATTTTGGTATAAATACAATTTTTTTACATAATTTAGTATTTTTTGATTTTTGAAGACTAAACATTATCTGTATCGGGAGTATTTTGACAGCATTTATCCTTAAACTGGTTCAATTTACATGTTTAGCGCATGGCTTTTATCGTGTATCAGAAACAATAAGATGCAATTATTCCAAAGTTTAACAACCAAAGTATCAGTTTAATCAGATATTTTAATTGGTAAAAATCAACAAGGATTTCTAGATATTGAATTCACTCCTTCTGGTATAGTAAACATGAATTATGCCCCTATCACATCTGTTGACGTAGAATGGTCTTTTAGTCCAGTGGTGCGCAACCGGGGAGGTCTTGAAATTTTATTAGGGGGTCGCCAATAGTTTTAATCTAAATGAAAAAGTTATATATTACTATTCCCTGGTCAATGAGTGTGTCAAATGTGATAATTAAAAACAAATATCTCTCTACATTAAATGTTGAAGCTGATTTAAGAGTAGTAGTGTCAAATATCAAACCAAACATAGAATCAATCATGTCTACAATGCAAGCTCAGGTTTCTCATTAAAATAATTTATTGGTAATTTCATAATTTAAAAAATATTTAAAAAATATTTAAATGTTGTTTATCATTTTAATAATTCCAGTAGTTTTTTAATTTTAGATTCTATATGACTCTAATTCTGTATTTTTTTTTCATGTTTTGGATTAATTAAATTAGAGAAGTATTGAAATTAACGTTTTAATTTATATGAATAATATGTTTGTATACATTAAGACTATGAAGTAAATATATATTATACACTTACATAATGTTGGTAGGAAGGGGGGTCGTATTACCAAAATAAATAATTTTGGGGGGTTGTGGATCAAAAAAGGTTGCGCACCACTGTTTTAGTCAATAGAAGAGTATTCTTCGACTAAACCGACACAATTTTTTATTTGCAAACCTTCAAAAATATGTTTTTCCTCATTGCTATGTTCCGGTATGATACTCATGGTTTTATAAACCTACATCATTTTATTAATTTTATTTATAAAATATTTTTTTGCTTTTAATTTTTAATGCTAATGCATTTTTTCGATATTTACATATTATTAATTTTTTTTGCATATTTTGATACAAATAGTTGAATATTTATATACATATTTTGATTTTTTTATTACAATAAAGTCTGTTCCCTAGTCATAAACATATGTACTTATATTTGCTTACCTGAAATATTCTTTCACAATCTGTTGAAAAATATAAAGATAACAATTATTACTGCACTTTTTTAATTCGATGACTGAACACTCTATACACACTATACTGACAAGTTTACCATCAATATTTTTATTACCAAATATATTTCTTTTATAATATTATTACCTAATGTGGATAGTTTTTTCATAGTCTTTATCTTCTCTAAATTCATTACCTAAAGAGTCAAGTGCTGAGTGTTGCAATAATTTGTTCGCTTCAAATATAATAATAAATAAAGATAGGGATTATTCTTTAAAAATATAATACTGAATTCAAAGAGGCAGAAAAGCATTAAAAAAAATATCTTAAGAAATCAAGTCTTATAATTTGGCTTTAAGTAGAAAAAATTAGAGTTCTAGTTTATTATATGTTCTCTAAGCTACTACCTATACAAAAAAAACTTATGACTTCTACACTATCAGAGCTAACGTGCAAGACAATTGAATTTTTGAAACGTGGCTTTATAGGTAAATTATAAAAAATGGTATGGACAGATCGCATTGCCAATCAAATGATATTAGAACAAATTAAAAAGGAGAAAGAACTTAGATGATAACTTAAATGATAAAATATTTTTAGTTATATTACATACATGGAACATGTGAGAAATAATCAATGATATATTCTTCTCATCCTTATGTACTACATACAGCTTCTTGTCTTCATATTATATGAGAGGTGTTTTAATCTTGTGTTTTAGTGAATTAGGTTCTTTCAATATCTAATCTAAAATTGTGTGGTCATAAAGTAATAAAATATAAACAATTTGGTCAGCATATAATTATATAAATAATATGTCATTCTCTATTAAGACATTTTAAGTATCAAAATTCATTTAAGATCAATACAGCATATTATGCACTTCATAATTGCAAAATGTGTATACATACTTTAAAAATGTATAGACAATTATATAAAGAATAGCATTGAGGTAAGAATTATTATAATAATTGTTTCTACTAATTTAAACATAAATGATTATGAATATTGACTAAGTTGATCAAGCATAAAGCCACTTCTTATATATATTTATATAACCTTAACAAGTACCTAATATTGATTTAATTAATTATTTGTTGAAATAGTCATCTATAAGCAATAATATTATACAATAAAATATAATTATTTTTATGGTCAACTTCCAATCTTTGAAGTGTCAAAACCCTACAATATTTCATTAGGTACATTAAAAAATAACCAATTAGGTACCAATTTAAAATGGTTACCTAGCAATTTGATGAAATAAATATATATAACCTATATCTACTACATTTATAAACATAGATTAAAAAAACTCTTTGATTCAGACTTAGCTTTACTCAAACTGTATGTTCAAGCAAAATAAAATATAAATATTGTGAGTTTGCTTTAATGCTGAACTTAAAGATTGTGTCATAATTAATATAATAAAATGTTGAAAACAAGCTCTTACATTTGTAATTATTCATAAATCATAATATATTTTATTTTGTATTTTTAGTATAGTAGTTCACCTATAAATTATAACTTTGTTTATACTGCTAGTAATTTTATTTAAAATAAAAAAATATTCAAGTACAGCTGATTCTACCATTAGTTTTAACAGTTATAATGCTATATACAAAACAAATGAATACACATAAAATTATTTCATTAGAAAAACAGTTAAATCTTAAATTCAGCATGATGGAATAGAATGATTGTGAACTAAATAACAAAGTGAGAATTATAGAAAAGAATGGACCTGAGGTTTATTTATTTTGCTAGAATATTTCGAGAACTTATTAAAGTTAAAAAAGTTGTATGTTATGAGAAAATAAAAGTTAAAAATAAAAGGGGGAATATCGCAGATGGCTGGAGAATTATGACGAGTACAGAATGGAGAATCATTTAGGGTAAGTTTGTATAAGAGCGAAGGTAGTAGAATTTGTTCAAAACAAAGGCGAGAGAACGTTGAAATGTTTTTGCTGAAAGTGTCACTTTTCAATCATTTTTGTGATTATTAATTATTGTAATATGATTAAAATAAATAACATAGTAGAAATGAAAATAACAGATCATTATTATTACCTTACTAAAAAACATATTTAATTTTCCCAATTACTTATACTGTTGAATATTATTTTTTAATTGTTAATGGTTTTGAATTTTTAAATGATTATTTAATAAGTTTTTATTTCTTGCTTGGTTAATAGTTAAATACTAAGTAGGAACTTTTGTTTGAAATGCAGATAAACCATTTTATTCCGAAATATAATAAGTATTTATCATTAATGATTAGTATAAAAATAAAGTATATCCTTATAAAATAATATATTTTGTTTAAGTTCTGATTGGTGATTCAGAACAATTTATTTATTATAAATACATTTAATATTTTTATGTTGTTCTTTTATTAGATTTTGTGAACAATCATAGTGTGACTGATGGTAATTTTGTTGTACCTAAAGATCCAATTGTACAATCTCTGAACCCAAAAGTTTTATCTCACAAAAGTAATTTAAGGCAGTCACAATCATACAACAAATTCCCTGGTCAAAGAAATTCTCATGACCCAAGGTAATTTTAAATATTAAATTAATTTAAACTTATATTTACCTAAATTGCTGATGAAATGTATACAATATTTTTGATGTGGATGTACTTTTATTCAAGTTTGAGTGTTGAAACTTCATATGCATTAATTAATTTTAATGAGAGAAATTTAAATTTTTTATAGTTATATACATATATACATGTATTGTATACATATATTAACTAGTTAAATTTTAATGTAAAATAAATCATATTTTTTTGCAGTACATAACACATTTAAGAATTTTTATTCATGTAGCTTAAAATAAATTAAATTTTATAGCTCAAATAGACCGAGTTAATTAAAAAAAACATATTAATTAATCAATTTTTAGAATTGGAAATGGGCTACATAATGCATGGAATACTCATGAACACATATCCAGTTCTAATATGCAACCAATGCTACTACCAAGATCAACCATAAGTTTAGATAAAGATCATGGTAAATTCTTTATTAATTATTAAAAAATGTTTTTGTTAAAGTAACAATGTTTATTCATTTACAGTAACTTATCCTAAAGATAATGGTGTATTTTTTAATAATAATTCAAATTCTACAAATTTGCCATCCAGTCATGAATTGTCAAGTAAGATTATTGATCAAGATTCCACATCTAAGTATAGGGACAGGTATATAATATTATATTTTACTATAGTAATATTACGTTTTTATAATAAAATAAATTTGAATAATTTAATATTTTTTGATCACAGGTTTGGAAGTTTAGATAGGCGGCACACTACAAGGAGTTCTAGTTCTCGAAGTAACAGTAGTGTTGATCATGAACCTTCAGCTGTACCTGTTGTACCGCGACACACAAATTCTCAGCATCCCACAACTACTATTTTATTACCAAATCAAATGTACCCTGAAAATAGTTTAATGAGAACTCACTCTCTGGGTAATATTAAAAATGAAAATCAGCAACAACCCGAAAAAGGATTTACAGATTTAAATCAGATATCATTGTCTGAAAGTAGAAAAAATTCTGAGAAAAAATGGATTGAAACATCATTAGATAGTAGTAGTGTTGAGTCTGGGCCAACACTTACCCATGATTTACCACCTCCTATCAAAATGCATACACCTCCAATACAACCGGAAAATCACCCACTTCCGTACGATCCACTAGTCAATCATTTTGACACTGTAATTATTTTATAACTTTTGGGTATTGAATTCAAATAATTATGCATATAAATGTAATTTTTTATTAGGTTCCATTTGAATCACCAAAAAATCATACGGTTGTTCAGGTTGGAAAGTGGCAACCGTATCGTGAAGTAACTAAGCCATTTGAAATGTCTGATTTTTATAAGTACAGTACAAGATTTAGGAAGCCATCTGCTAATTCTATTAATACATCTCCAGAAATAGTTCAAGCTACAGCTAACCCATCTCCAACACCATCTTTGCCACCACCATTACAAAATAAAGGAATTTATCAACCTTTACAACCTCATAATTGTCATCCACTGGTACCTCAGTAAGTTAACGCACAATTATATATTTCAGTATGAAATACTACGTTTAAAATACATTTAATTTTACAGAAACATTTCATTAATGGAAGAAACAGTTTGTCCCATTGATTCATTTGAACCCAATAATGAATTATGTTTGGATGAAAGTGTATTTGCTAATGAAATGTTATCTTGGTATCAAGATGAAGCTACTCCTCAATCTAGGACCGCCACGTTGGTATGATCTAAAAAAATAAATAACTAAAACCTACTATGGTATAGTTCTGTATTACGAATTTATTGATAGGCAGCTAGAAGACAACCAATATAATATTATATATTATTATCATTTTAGTACAACATTATTTCTCCATATGAATGACAACAAAATTCTAAAATTTTAATACACATATCTATTTACAATGTATAATATAGTTTTAATTTTTATGACTATATGTGACATTGATCATATTAAAAGTTAATTTATTTTGTACTTCAGTATCATTAAACTGAAAAAAATCTATTGGGTTTCTTTAATAATTGTAATTTTATTTCTGTACAAAGATATTATTCATAAAGATTCATTATGAATAATATGAAAATTAACTTAACTTGTTCGTATACATTTATCGAAGTAATCACAATATTTTGTAATTAATCATCGTATGCAATTCTAGTAATTTACCTAAATTAAATTTATTAAGACATAATGTCTTACTTGATAAATAATAGTTCAGTTTTTAATTATAAATATTTTATTTTAGTATGCTTAACAAACAAAAATTGTAGTTTTTTAACAAAATGCACTATGAATGCAAATAATGTATTAATACAAATATGGAAGAATATGTAGTATAAGATAAGACTGAATGTTATGTGCAATTAGTCTTAAGATTTTAAGATGTTTATATACTTTTTTTACTTATATAGATGATTTTTTTATTTTGCTATACCATTATTATTAAGTAATGTATACAAAAAAAAAGTCATTTATTTTTTAAATTATTATTGTCTTTTGTATTTTATTTTTATAACGACAACATATATTTTCTTATAATTGTATTCAATTTTGAGTTTGTGTTTGTAATAAAAATAATAGTATAGAAATTGATGTGCTCAATGATTATTTTTGGTAAAAATGTTTGGCTATGTTTTTTTTTAATGCTAAATACAATTTATATGATGATAATTTTATAATATATATTTAACAAGATATGCAATTTTTTACATTTTATATATAATATATGCACATAGAGATCTACATTTATCAAACATAAATCTATGTTTATATTTTACTTATATAACTATTATTAATATTTGTTTAAGTACACTCTGCATCACCTACGTTTTATAAAAGTCCCCCAATTTGTAAAATATTTGACAGAACATTTAATGTTTATTTAGACTTAAACATACATAGTAAACTAAAATAATACTAATTAGTAGTAACATTGTGAATTGATTAATTTAATTGCACATTTAATCTGATTTTATGTAATAAACTATTTCGCCTTTGCAATGTTACCTATCTGCTTATAAATAAACAAATACAATACATATGTATTGTTAATTCAATTTGGATCCTATCTATTTTGTTGCACAATACATTAAAAACTACATATTTCCTTAACTGTTGTGATTAATGTTTAGAGTAATAATTGACATAAAGTTTTAATGACAAAATTAACTTTGATAAATTTTAAATCCAGTTATCCATAAAATAAAATTTTTTGAATATTTATTTCAGATTCAGACAGACAGAAAAGTACTTGTCATTTTTGTGTGTAAAACAATATTATTATTTTACATTTAATTTATTTTACCCTTACAATACCATTTAAGCACTGTTTAATTTAAAGGATTTAGTTAATAATATGTAATTTGTAAAGATTAATATCTCTATTATATAAATTTATACTTCCGTTCCATATTCAAATCCTGAAATCCCAATACCTACCGTTATCATGCTGTCTTTTTTTTTTTTTGAGAAAAATAGAATTCTACTTCATTTTTTCAACTAATTACTTTTGCAAATGTTATAGATAAAAACTTATTAGTTATTACATTTCTAAGTATATATTATTACAGGATTGTTATTTTTATATTATATCTTGATTAATTATAAAATAAGAAATGTGATGTGAATTTACTATACAAAATTAATATTGTAGAATACAGATAATGTTTTAATGAAAAAAATATTTGCATTTGTAAAAATGGATGATCTTAATGTTTAAACCATTAGAGACCAAATGTTCTTACTCCAAACAATTTTGAAATCAGACTTTATCCGATTCATTATCATCCAGCAAAGTGCACCCAGAGCTATCTCATATAAAAAAAATAAATCAAACCCATAAATCTAGAAGTTTACTCAGTGCATGATATCTATGAAGCTTTTCCCTTTATTTCTGGTACAATGATTAGGAAATGAATCCGTTTTTACTTACATAATTTTTATATTTTTTACGATTATTATAGAATCTCATCAAAAGTATCTTTTTGCAAACCCAAAAATCAATATATTATACAAATGTCTAAAACTCAACATTAATTTAATTAAAAAATAATGTCAGTAGCTACCAACTGCAATGTCAAAAATTTTTAATTTTGAGAATAAATGCTAACTTATTTTTGACACATGGCATTGTTATTTTATTTATTATTTTTAACCAATTATTAAATTATTTTGTGAATATTTATTTATTGTGATTGCCGAGTCTCTGTGGTAGCTGATAGTGGAATCGTGTTCCACTTATTTTATGTATTTATACCCCACCTTATTTTGATCACTATTATAATCATAGAGTCCAGAAATAGTGTGAAACGCTTCAACAGTATTATTGAGTAGGTGCTAATTAAGATTTTAGAATTAATATACAATTTTAATTTATAAATAATATTTAAAATTATGTCAACACAATGTTAGTTTTTATGTCAATATGTGATGTCATCCAATATATTATTTTCTATAATTATTTACACTTGGTGATTTTACTTTGAGAATATTGAAAAACATAACAAAAAATGATTTTGCTTGAATACTAATTGTTGTTTATGTTGCTCGTGTGCCAGAGCAAATAACCAATTGGTGCACTGACACCGTCTTAACGTTTACGATTATTATTATTTTTTTTTTTCAAAACAAAGTATATATGAGGATTTATGTCGGAAAAAAATTTACTTAACGTGATTATAAATATATTTATAGATACTTACAGATAAGTAAGATAACATGAATAAAATTATCTTAGAAGCTTACTTCTACAAAAATAAACTTGCAATAATAATATGAATAATATGTACTTATGTAATTTTAACTTTAAACTCATTTATGCTCCAGCGTTGCTCATAATGTTAAATTTATAATATAATAAGCCCTACACCCTATATCACTCTCTAATACATTGCAATTTGCAACTCTAACAATTTAGCCTAATTTACACCACTGATAAACCAATAATAAGTTATTGAAGTGCAACTACCTGCAATATATTACAGGGCTGTTAGTTTGCAGTCTAAATTTCTTTTTCAACAAAGTATTTAGGAACTTTCTGTACCTAAGTCTGTAAACAAGATAGGCAAGATAGTCTGCGTTTAAATTATGGAAAGTAGTCTATAGTCATGGGCCATGGGCGTATAGGTTTACAGAGAAATCGGGAATATTTATCCCCCTGTATAAGAATAATGGGGCCTGTTTCATCGTTTGATGCAATAACTCCTGAATGGAGTTTAAAATTTCAAATGGAGTATGATGTATGAATCATGATGTATGAAACCTACGCGAGCATATGAGCATAATATATTGATATCATATAATAGAAATTAGAAAATAGATTTAATTCAGTTTAATAATGGAGTTTACTTGCCTCCAGGTACAAAGGGGGCAAAAAGAGAAAGTAGATTTAAAATATGTGGACGAAAAGAGAAAGGTCATTAATGGGCGAACAGGTTGCTGCCCATTTGTGAGTAGGTACCTCCTTGAAGTGACTTTTGAACAGCGTTTGAAAGACGATGACGCGTAGTACCTATTAAACATATAATAATCATTTAGACCGCTAGCCATAAACATTTTAACGAGAGACAATAATATTTATTAATTTTTACAAGGCGATATATATACATATTACCTACCTAAGTCCTAACAGATACTTATTATCCTTACGTCGACACCGTCGCCATAGTTTATTGATTTTCTAAGCAATTAATACATGCAACAATTTATGGTTCGGAAGCCAGTGACTACTTTTCGTAGCTATAACAATAATAGGTTTATGTGTAGGACCCTGGCAGCCTGAGAGTGTACAGTGTTGAGGAGGGATCACATGAGTTGCGTCCGGTAAAAAAGGTATACACGAATTGCGTCCCAAAAAATGCAGGATGCAATTCGTGTAATTAAATCAGGGGTTCTTAAATAACTAACAAAAATAACTAACAATTATAAATATAAAGTAAAAAAACGTTAAATCACTTAAATCCAATTAAAATTAATATAGTCAATAATATAATAAATAAGTTAATTAATTAATAATAATAATGTCAATAAAAATGTCAGTCAAAAATTAGGTTTATATTTATTAGATAAGCTTTTTACAAAATCTAACCTTGTTATTTTATTTTCGTTCAATTTTTTGATCTGATTTTCAACAAATAAAATATTGTTTTGGCGTTGTTTCCTATAATGACGTACAGAAATTAGCGAGCTTTTTATTAACATTACATTATCGGTTTGCATTATCTTTAAAACATCTAAAAATGTGTAAATATTTGGATGGAAACTATTAAAAAAACTATTACATTTTTTGTGAAATGACTCGCACGCGTTTGTCGTTCGCTGTAAACTTGAACTTTTTTCTGCTCATATTGATAGAGGGAAATTATAGTAATAACTTATCTGTACAACTGTCGAGTGTCGACTTTAGCTAAAATAGTTGTATAAATGAGTAAATTGGTAAATAAACAAAATTGCAAAAAAATTGAAAAAATCCCAAAAATTACAATAAATTGCACTTAAAATTTTTAGATTTGAATTTCTACTTACTAAAAATGTATTTAAAACTTACTTGGTAATAAATTGAAAAAGTAGAAAAAAGTTGCAAATGCAACATCATCGGTGGCTTACTTATAGTTAATATACCTTTGAGAACCCCTGAAAACGAAATAAAAATTCTACTACCTATCCCATATAGTGGGACGCAATTCATGTATACCTTTTTAATGGGACGCAACTAAGGTGCCCCGGTTGAGGACTGGCTTTGCCATACGGAGATAAGCAAGACGTGCTTAGCCTTATTCCCTCAAAGTTATCAGGTAGAATGTTTTTCCGTAGTTATTATTACCTAAGTAACCAACATTTTTAACTTGCACTGAAACAAAATAAAATATGAAAAGCAGCATCTAATACTAAAAATGTTTTTAAAAAAATTGTAATATTCATAAAGAAACAATAAAAAAAAAAATGGGCATGTGGGTTTTGGATACCACTCTGATAGAAAATTGGATCTAGTTGAAAGTTTTTTTTTTTGTGGGAGTTAAAGGTGACCAAAAGTAAATAATTCCCAGTAGGTACCTACTTTATATATATATATATATATATTAATAACTTCAATACGATATCATAATTTAATATCATATCAGCAAATCAGAAAATGTGCGACAGAGGCTACATTAAGTAGTTTAGTTATAATTCCAACTTTAGGAGTTGAAGTATATTTTCTTAGTTAATGATGATAAATAATGATTAATATTGATGGTTTCCAGGGCAATCAATATTATCTCGAATAGATCTAACGAACCGAAAATAATAATTTTGTCAATGCGATTTAAAATATATATATGATATGTTTTTTATTTAATTATTAATTATTACATACATTTAAATGTATTTATAATATTAAATAGGAAAGAAGATTTCACTATTTAAAAGAAAAACACTGATCAGGGGGCCTGTGTAGAGCACCACTTGCACACGGCTAT